AAAAAAAAAAAGCAAAATAAAAGACTCAAATAAAAATAGTTTTATATTAAATACAATGCACTTTGAATGTAAGTATACCATAAAATGACGAAATCGTCGATGCAATAGACAAACAAATTATGCAGATCGTTAATGTTGGTGTCTACAATGGAAGAGTACGATCGGAGTACGTAGRGTTTGACTTACCATTAACACCCCATTTGCTAGCCGAGTAGGCAGATAGTTTGGCTTCGCCGCTGAGAGATGAAATCGACGAAATCGCTACAATGTGACCGCTATTTCTCTTCATCATACTCGGCAAGAACGATCGTATCATCTGGAYCATGAAAAARAAAAATACTCAATATACCTAATAATATAGTATCTATCTACTGTCGCGAATTTTCGTTAAAATKTCTATCATATTCAGCTTAATCAAATCACTATYACYTTTCACTTATTTTTAATAGGCAGTTGAGAATATTATTCGAGTCACTCAAGTTTTGAATTCTGTTATAATTTGACTCATTTMAAAATAAACRTGAATTGCCACGATGGGAGTTTAAACAGTTTATTTCAAATTCGAAACCATGAAAAATTAAACTAAACGGTYCTCGGGATTGTGAGATCTTGGCTTTAATTTTAATCAATGTTATTATACAAATATAAAAATGTGGATAAATAGAATTTCAATCAGAATATTGGCTCATATGATAATTGATGATCTGAAATTTAAAGCCAATCGACTTGCGCACATTTCATTTTAAAATAAATGAATTACCGAGGAAATGCAAGCGTGCAGACATTTTTCACATTTTTCACATTTTTTTAATCCTTATTATATCGTAAATGAAATAATTTTTTAGTTTATATGAATATATTCAAATTATTCAAACACCATAAAAACTCGTTACTTTGTTTAATTAAAGTGTGCTTCTCCATTAAACTAAATTATTTGTCGTGCATTTAAATGTTTATTTCTAAAACCAAATACATATTACTCGAAATCAAACGACTGCCGGTCCCGATRAAAAACGATAATACCACTGAATTTCGAATCATTTATTTTTTATTACCTATACCCAGGTTGTAGTTACTCGAAACACTTTGTTTATTGCTTACATACAATTTATAGATCGCAAAGTTCAAAAAGTCAAACTATAGCGATTGGTTTGCAATTTTTCGAGTACGATTCACCTTTTATGATGTTTTATCTACTATTACAGTATTATTTAATAATGCTTTTTTTTTTTTTTTTCATCTCACAACTAATGATTCGCCTTCCACCGACTTACCCAAAAGTGTCCGAGCAGGTTTATGTTGATGATGCTGGAAATCGTGTGGTCCTGGGCGCCCAAGAACGTGTGGCCGACAATGACGGCCGCGTTGTTGATGAGCACGTCCACCGGGCCGAGGTCGAGTTCCACTTTGACGGCCAGTGCGGCCGTTTCGGAGCTGACTGCCACGTTGACCGTGTATGCCTTGGCCAACGCACCCGGCACCTTAGACTCGATCAGCTTGACCGTCTCTTCGTTGCTCGTCTCGTCCACGTCGACGCACGCCACTTTGGCGCCGAGATGGGCGAACGACAAGGCCAGTTCACGGCCAAGTCCTCTGCCCGAGCCCGTGATCTGTGAACATGGAGGGACAAAATTCAAAGATGGTAGGTCACCTAGATGCCCAAGGGGGTCAAGTGAAACCTGCAGTGGTCTGATTTTACACCTGCACATCATAAACGGAACCGTCGCCCGACAAGATTGAAAGACGACGACACTTGCATATTTTTTTTTTTTATTTTACGCCTGATGGATATGAAAATGAAATGAAAATATTTCACGATATCGGAATCGTAATTTTTCGGTATTAGGTATACAAGTTGCTTCAAAACGCAAAGTATAAATTGATAATTTCGTGTTGAAGCAACTTATTATTGGCAGCTTAAACTACTTGTTTGTATAGGATAACGTTACGTATCTATATAATAATTATAATTATATTCAGATTTTCACTTCGTTAAGTCGATTTTAACATAATTTACTTGATCATCATAACTTACAATGGGAATGTAAATTGAAATTAAAATTGAATATAAATTAATCATAATCAGCAAGTCAATAGTATCATAAATTAAAACGTACCCACATATCAGTGAATTAACTACTGTAATACTTAATTTATCATTTATGATTTTATATCACAAAATGTTTTTTTTTTTTTTGAACTGCTGTTATAATATTCAATATTAATGAACTATAATTTAAATAACTGTGATTCATGTTTGAAAAACAACCGATTATCAATGCATTAATAACACTATAACTTTGATATAATTATGTATGTATCTTAGTTTATTTCTTTTTTTTAACAGTTTGGATAGTTATAGGTTTTAAAATACATAATATGGTAGTTACTTTTAAATGACAAAAGGCAAAAGTGCTGCTAAAGGAATTTAAGTGATATTTTATTACCGCATAAATTACTCGGTTACAGAACCATAAATAATCAGGTTTATCTCTTATTGAATTCGCCTGTATATATAATATAATATATAACTGTTCATTTCGAGCCCTGTGTCATGAGATTCTGACTAATTAATTCATAACATGACATATTCAACTAATCACGTTATAATACGATATTAGTCGTAGCTCACTACTCTGTTTATAGGTATTCATATAGTCATATCGTTTGGAAACGTAGAATATTACTAACCCTACCAAATGTGTGGGAATACGAAAAATATCAAAATTTTACCATAACACGTAAATAGGATTGGTATGAAGATCAGTTGGTATGAAAATGTGTAGTAAATTTTGAGTATTAATGTTATTGAAAAAAAAAAAAAGATCCACATTTAAAATTTTAAAAGATATTGAAGGATTGAACATAATAATATTATAACGCAATAAAAGAGGCGCCCTAACTYCAAATGCCACTCCTCGATGTGTTCATAAATACATTATAAGTAGGTATAGTTTAAAAAATCAAAATCAAATTATGGTTTTGAATTTGAATTTGCTTATCAATAATTTTGGTTTTTGGCGACTGCATAAAAAATATTATCTCATTAAACATTAAACCCATTAAACGATAAAATACGAATTAATTCAATTTGAATCAACATTGAATTCCCAAGTATCTCGGGACTTCGTGTCATTATAAATGCATAACAAAGAAATTGTGGAACACAAAACTACACATATAATGCTTGATAGAAAATATATGCAAACCACTCATTTTTACTAAACGAATGTATTATAATAATTTACCAGTACAACATGCCCCTTGACAGATTTCTTCGACTTTGGCAGAAATACTTTGAACGTTTTGAAAAACAACGTCACAAAGAACATTTGAACGATGATGAGTATTTCTAATACTAAGGGAATTGGATTTTTCAGTGTCCATTGCTCCTGAGTGGAAGGAGGTGCCAATTGTACTGGTTTGGTATTTTCCGTATTTGTGTTAGTCATATTTGTGGAATGATTCTAAAAACAAAAAAAATTAAATTAATTATTTGTTTTTATTTTCCACTACTGAATGTTAAACCTATAATTGGAATAACATAATATATAGTAATATYCTCCAAAATGTTTGCATATAAAAAAATAATAAATAAATTATATCAGCTGAAATTGTTTTACCTTAATCAATTTATAATAATAATTATATTTTAACCTGTAATATAATTTAATTKAAATTTTAATTGAATATAAATGTCTATTAAAATATAAAATGTTTTTAAAAGTTATAGCTTTCTAAGTAAGTTAATAAAATCAAACCTGAAACAACTATAATTCGATTTGGTCGGGTTAAATAGAAATAAGTTTTTTTTACCTTTATTCCAACCTTTTATGGACTGATGTAAGTAATTATTGTTAATTATTATAACGTGGATCCATAAAAGTACTATTTTAATAAAACAACAATAAACATTAATGTCCAATGTCAAATATTTATTTTTTTTAATGTATACAGAATATAAAACAATATAAATATATTTTTTTTGATCAAGTTTGAGATTAAAATATATTAAATGAACGATTGATATAGGTAAAAGTGTTATTTATATTGAAATAAAGTCGAATAAGTCGATTTTAAATGAGTGCAAAGTTTAAAAACTCATCTTAGAAAATATGAAAACTTGCACTTTATTTATTGAATAATAGGTATATAATATTTATTTATTATTTTCATCARCATGAGTTATTATTTTCGTAAAAATTCCAAATATTATTTATATTGATTAAGCTGATGGTAAYTATAAAAATAAATTAAATTTAAATTTATAAAATAATCGAAACKATTTAGAATCAGTGTATTCGACGTATTTCGATTAAGTTTATGATATAAATCAAGAATAAATATTTTAATACCACATTTTTATTTTCTAATGAACTGTTTTGTAGGAAAACATTGTTTATTATTATAAAAGTTTTGCCATATGCCACCTTKTGCAGTACACTAATATTAACGTAATTGTTTAGCAACGAGTAGTCGAGGGGAAAATGCACAAGAAAAAAATATATTAARAGACGGGACAAAAATTCTAAAGTCAATCGAAAACACAAAGGGAAGCGAACAATCTGAAAGTGCTATAAATCACAGACATCTGGAACATATTTCTACGATTGTTTGATAACGGTAAAAAACGATAGTTTCTATGACCATTAAATACATTTTCAATGTTTGTCCAAAAAAATAAATATAAAAAAGTGGATACAAATTGTATTTTTATCCAAACTCATTTCATGATTATTATTTGTGTTTAAATAACTGGAGGTTTAAAAAAAGCTTTTACTCAGAATCGTTTGAATTTGTTATTTTTATGAYTTATGCTGTAAGAATTATTACTGGAAAATAATATTATTAGTTATCAATATTTCAATAGAATTTATTTAAATGTTTATATAAACAGCTGATTTCCCATTATTCCATTATATTAGTAGGTAGGTACTATAAAGATTTAATTAAAAATGCTTTACGAAGGTCAAATCAGTGGGTAGTATAATTGTTTTGTATTTCGGTTATTTCAAAACTGAGAAAATCAGTTTCCTTCCGGAAGCCTTTTGGTGCCAATTATTAAACTCAAAACATTAACTAACCTAACCTAACTRTAGTTTTAAACCTAATGAAAATGTCGTATAGTTTTACAACTACGATCATAGACATGACTTTTTCTGTATCGTGAAAAAATTAATGATCGTAATCACATTTTACACTATCTAGTACAATTAGTTTTAATCATCAAGTCGTGTAGTTCCTTATAGAAATATATTTTATGACTTTTTATAAATAAACCTTATTGTGTCACGTGGATTCTGCGTTCTAAAAATGTATCTTGAGCAAATAATAAATAATATAACATTATTTAGAGACCTATTAAAAACTCAATTTCACGCTGGAAAATACAAAAACGACGT